CCCCAAAACCCCAAAACCCCATAGTTCATTTATAGTTGAATTTGCTTAATTTCTAATTTTATTAAGTAGCATTAAATGATTATATATTTCTCGTTATCTGCTCAGAAGTAGTTGGCATTTCTTTGCATTGTTCTGTTATTAACTACTACATTAGCCTCTACTACAGTCTTATGTGGCACTCCTCCATCCATTCTTTCGACAGGTGGTCTGTTGAGATTAACCTTGTTATTTACAACCAGAAGTGGATTGTTGGTATTCATAACATCGTCATTTACACTGACACCATCCAAATACTACTTCAACAAGCTCTTGAAGAACATATTCTCCTTTTCAAGAGTGGTCTTTTGCTTATCAATAGCCAACTTATCTAAAAGTACTTTGTTGTATCTTTTGTAGAAGGAATCAAGAAGCTAGAACTCATTATATTTTTGCTTTTTCATGCCCTCGATTTTCTCAACTCCAATATCTGGAATTTCTTCAACACCGTCTTCACTGGTTTGATAGAATGGAAGGACCTTTTCCTTTTCAGTTTCAAGTTTACGGCAAAGCTCGGCAGTCTTAAGAATTTTCTCTCCTAGCTTCTAATATTCCTTCAACTTATCCATGCACATTTTTGAGTTAATGGTAAGGTTACCAAGTCTTCTTTCTTCATCTTCTCTGAATTAGATCATCTTGCGCTTTAGATCATGATAATGTCTGACAATCATGTCTTTTTCCTTTCTAAGTTTAGAGTTTCTCTCTTCACATTCACGCTTGTTTTGTTGCATTTTCAATGACCAGTAAGCAATTTACTCTTTAAGTCTGTTGATTGACCTTTGATAGGTATTGATACTCAGAGAGGATTTTTCATTATCTTTTAAAAGCTTTTTGTAGTTGTCAGCCTTAGACTCAGTATCTGAGACATATCTGTTGAAGTTCACTTCAAATTCTTTGTCAAGATCTTCAATTTTCTTGATCAAATCATGCTTCATCGACTCAAGTTCCTCGACATTCTTGTTTTTAGTCTCCTCTCTGAGTGACTCGAAGTCATCCTTCATTTACTTTAGCTTGTGGTTCTCCTCTTCGTCGATAGTCTCAATCATATCTCTTAACTCTTGTCTCTCCATATTGTGACTGTTTTCAATTTCTTGTTTCTCTCTGTCAAACTCAGCCTTGATTATTTGCAAATCTCTTTCAAATTCCTCTTAAAGACCTCTCAATCTAGAATTCTAGAGTTCAATGAGTTCATCAACATGAATAAGATGATTTCTGAGAGCCATCTGGTATTATTCTTCGGCTTCATCGAGATCTCTGTCAAGCATTTACAAAATAGCATCCTTAGCGTCAACTTCTCTATCATGATTTTGCTGGTAAATTTGAATTTCCTTCTTTAACTGCTCAGTTTTAGCAACTCTCATGATTTTTCTCCAATGTGTCAATATCTTCATCCTATTGAAATGTGCCATTTTCTGTTCTTCAAACATAGCATTCTTCAGATACTCTCTTCTCATTTTCATTTGAGTTTGCTCTTTATCAAGATCTTCCATAGTTTTATCTTGATGTCTAATTCTGATCATTGTCCTTTTTGACTCTGTAGCTGAAGGCTAAAAATTGAAAATTAGTATGCTAATAGAAGTTTGATAAGAGTTTCATTCACAATTTTAAGTTAGATTATTAGTTAGATATGGAAATACTTACAGCTTTCCCCTTGACGAACTTGCCCAATTGAACCATTTCTAATTTAATTTATTTGTATGTTATAACTTTTCTTAATTTAATATGTTTATTTAAAGTTTCGGGGTTTTGGGGTTTTGGGG